GTCAATGAGCGCAAGTTTTCGAAGATGAAAATTCCCGAACCCTTCGATAATAGTTCGGAACGTCAAAATGACCAACAGATGATATCTGAATGGCATAGTGTCTAGTAGTCAACGATAAATACTTCAAGGTACATTTTGATGCTTATTAATCGCAAAGGTGAAGACATAAACAGTGAACAACTTTGATCAACCTGTTTCTTAAACGCACACCGAATTAATAGTCATCGTTTAACAAAACTTGAAAACAACTACACCATAGCTTCTAATAGCTCCCAAAAGACTTATAATTGTTTAATACGTAAAGCCTCTAGCAAAGCAAACTTTAAGACTGATAAGTCTTGTCGATTGAACGCTATATTCGATTCCTAAGCTATTCTGATAACCCGCAAGCTAGAGCTACACGGCGACTTGAACACCAGAGAGAAGACGCAAAGTGTGAGAGAAATACTTTACTCCAAGGTTCGTTTTTGTACAGAAAATCATGGGTATTTATAGATATTAGCGTTTGTTAAATCAACATCATATTTCAGCCAGTCCTTTAGTGACATATTATGCTACTGACCAATAGTAGCACGCCACGTTGGAATTCTAGAGTGCCCCATCGTACTGTGATTTGCTAGGACTTTTCGGCTCCTTTTGGGCCTCTGGAGGCTCCGTTGAAGTTCTCCGAAAGCCGACTCAACAAAGACCCTCTTCGATTTAGTATTCTGTGTTCGTATGGTAAGCAGAAGCAAATGAATTCCAGATATACCCAATTCGCACTGTATGAGTCACGTATTGGCCAGTATTCAAGCCAGAGACACTGTGTTTGGAGACTTTACGAGATCACCTAAAATCGATAAGAAAACCAATAATCAGCGACACAACGATAGTAAATGCCAAACTACTCAGATTCCACCCAGTTCGGCCAACCAAAGGGTGAGTACCAGAATCAGTCTAGGGAAAAGTATATTCCACAAGCAGTCAGAAGCACGTAACCAACAAGCGTGCAACTCAAGTGTACATGTACAGCATCAAAAGGTTCCTGAAGAACGTCAACAATTAGCATATTAAAAGACGGAACCAATAACATTTAGGGTCCTTCCATGTGGAAAATAAAATCCGAAAGTAAAATTGGATGCTTTTGGCACAAAAATGAGAAAAAGATTCAAATTTCTGCAACAATATTACAGAACTAAGACGTCTACGAAGTGATTTTTGTGGATCTAGCACCCCCAACAAGAGAGAACTGTGTGAGCACCATCGAGTGTGATGTTCTTTGTATTCAGATCGCCCACAGAATTAAAGGTTTAGTAATTAGTAAAAATATCACGAACGTACAGTATTTGGAGTTCGAAATGAAGCTTAAATTAGAGTCTGAGTGTCTGTAATCGATTGTACGTCTCCTTAAATTCATCCTGCGTCTGTCCGACATTGTATTGGACAAAAACTTTGTATTACCTAGAATGTGTTCATTAGTGTTAGAATTAACAACCGAAATCGGAACAAACTCACTTGGTTCCTAGGATTGTATACAATCGCCGTGTCGGTTGTGTAGCAAAACCACTGTCTAGAATTTCAAGCACAGATTGCCCGACACTATCCTCCCCCACGAAATAATGTTGGATCATTATATCCACAAGTTACGAATAATGTGGCTTCCTTTAAAACATATTTCTCACATTGTTTAGAAAAAACATTAGAACTGTTTTTGTGATAAGGGTAAACAGCAGTTGATATGAAATCATCCGAATTGTAATCAAACTCGAGCTCATTTAGCACTTGTGCTTTGCACTGAACAAGTTTCCCACAACCAACAAATGCATTATGAGAACAAATAATATTTGATAGAACATCAAGATTTGGTTCTTCTGAAATAGCTTCCTCAAATTTATTAAGAATGTCATTGCGGAGTACAGGATCATTAGAAAAATCACCATCTATCAAAACTACATCAGGTTTTCGATTATGACTAGGTTCATTCAACATATTTTCCTCAGATTTGCAAGGAATTTCGTCAGAAATAAGTGAGTTATATAATAAGTGAGCTATATCCGGTACAATAACATGAGAAATCTGATAAGTTGATTGATTAGGAACTGTTGTCTCGCAAGAATTCTGAGTTTTACTTAACTCTGAACTGCTATATGACACTACGCTGTCTTTTGAAATCGTTGATAAAGATAAATGATCATTATTAATACTCAACTTAATAGAATCAGAATTACAAGACTTAATATTAGTTGCAGCAAGGTGAACATTAGCATTACAAACTGATTGAATATGTCCAATATCACCACATTCAAAGCACTTAGAATTACGAAATTTACATGAATTAAAGGAGTGGAACCTGCCACAGGACAAACATTGACCAAACTTGTGCCCATCTTCGTGAACTGCATCCAAACTCCTCAATGAATTATCTACATAACCTTGAGTATGCACTGGGTTGGGATGACGTAATGTAGGGGAATTCTTTATATCCTCATGAATCATTTTACGAAATCTTCCTACTTTACCACACTTGAGGTTTGCATACTTAACATAGTCTGGCAGTAGATCCTTGAGAGTTGTATAAGAAAGCGAAGTGGGCTTTTCCGGCAAAGCCAGAGTTTTCAATATGCTATATGCTTCTTTTCCGATGAATGTGAGGAAATGTGCTACAATATTACCATCCTCATCATCTTCCTTGGTCATAGCCCAGATTTCTAAACTTTTCAAGTAATCCTCAAAAGCATCAAAATCTGAATGTATGTCAAACCGTTCCACCACAGGCTCAATCGCGACGCCAATATGATGATTGGGAGTATTTGAATTGTAGTACGAACTTAGAATTCCAGGAATAACGTAATCGGATCAAGAAGTACTAGATAAGCACGAACGAATGTATTGTATTTGGAATTCGAAATCAAGCATTCAATAAGTACCAAGGAACCATGAGTTCATTCAAACACCACATTAGGACAACTACAAAGGAATCGTTAGTTTATACAAACACCACAATAAGCCTACTCCCCTCGTCACATAGAAGTACTAGAGGTGACGTGATCAGATTTTAAATCACTCAGTGATAAATTTGCATCTGGTATGACATTAGTTTTCTTGTCTTTCAAAACTGAGAATTCACAATGACATTTGAGAAAAGTTTGTAGCATTATTTAACCAAGCGCACTTATCTACTCTACTAGAATAATAGACCTATTCCTCAATTGTAGGTTTGTCATTGTGTGACTACCTAATCTATGTTGAGTGTGAGTCTTTCCAGTTATCCCATGTTCTGCTTCAAGGGACGTGTGGTTGAGAACCAATACACCACAAGTTCATTAGCTCAGAACAAATTACCTGTCGGCTGACTATCGACCTTCCCACCGAATGATTAGTTTGTGAAATTTCCTACGTCAAAACGTGATCGACGCTGCGTCTATTAACGCATGGAGAAGGACGTTCAATCACTTGAAAGACCACCATCCGAGGAACTAACATTGAAATCCAGGTGCCTATTCCATCAAAATTGAACTTTAAGTGGTACGAATCAGCTAGCCACGCTCTTTTATTAATAAATAAAGCCATAAAATATTCTGCTCTGTAACTCTTTTGCGTTTTTGCTGGCTACAATAGCTTTGCTGTATATATTCTAAATAAGAGCTTCCAGTTATATGTTCTCACGAGATCACCATTGAGTCCGCTGTAGTACGCCTCTCTTACCATGGCTAACCACCTCGGGTCACACAAGGTATGACATACCCACTGCATTTGTAATGCTTCCACAAACTCCTCCACTTCAGACTTCTGGTTTCACTTGGTTTGGTATCCGTAGATTATGAAATTGTGAAGAGAAAATTAGTTGTAAATCCCGGAATACCCGTAGCAACCTTGTACTAATTTAGTTTCATTTCCTACACAAGTATCATGGGAAACATTCGAGAGTTTAAAAGCACCATTGGTAGTTGAATAATGGTTATACTTTTTGCTGTGTAAACATTAAAAGTGCCCACCAGTTGAAGTGCACCAAACAGATTCCCGAAGTCTTTTAAGAGGAAGCTAAATATATTCATAAGAGCTCAGAACGACTTGTGAATTTATCAATATCTCTTTCAGATTTGCTTGTTTCATATCACTGTCATTACGATGAGACATCACCAACTCAGTCCTATCATATATGAAAGCTTGTAAAGCAAAAGCTTCTTTTATTTTATTCACAAACAATCGAATTGAATTTTAGGCTACACGCTCACAATCAAAGTATGACAACATCATTCACTCAGGACGTTTTCCTCGTCGCTAAAATTTCGAAACAGAAGCTCCATCCACCATTCTTGATTTGTATAAACGATCTTCCACAACAGGTATCGTCTGACTTATTAATTTTTGCTGGGGATGTGAGACTTTGGAGAGAGATACGCAACCAAGAGGATATACAGGCACTTCAGGAGGATATGACTCGACTTCAAAGTTGGGCAGACGACAACGGACTTACCTTTAACCCTTCAAAATGTAAAGTAGTTTATCTGAGACATGTCGCAGAATACAGTTACAACTTAGGAAACTCCTCTCTGGAAGTACCCAAGTTGAAAAAAATTAGGACTGCTGGTACACTACGATTTGAAGTCTTACGCTAATCGTGACAAAAATGCCTCTAGAGCAAACCTCGTACTGGTAACACTGATGCGCATTTTTGGCCTGTTCAATGGAAGAACTTTCCACACAATCTTCAACAGCGAAAGCTATTTCTATTCCATCCACAATTATTTGCACCATTTGAACCAAGTCATCGAATCAGAAACTGTTTGATGCAATAACTTAAATCAATGATATTAGAGATTGCTTAGCGCGCAGAATAAATTGACAGCGCAGGCCAACTGTTATTTCTATTCATCGGAGATTTCGTAAACCAAAATTATATTCTGGTCTTCTCGATTGAATTACTCCTTCGATAGATTTGTAGGCATCTGTTTTGTGATTCTGTTGGCTCCACTTCGAATTGTAATGGTTCATCGTCCGCAAACTCCCGTAACGTGCACATGAGTAATAACCTTGGACTTAAAGTCGAACAAGTAGTTTTTAAAATACTTTAAAGTTTTCGACTCAGGTTCGTTGGTTTTATCGCGACTCCAACAACAAACGTTGGGTACCGTTTAGTGGTTACGATTCTATCAATTTGGAGTTGAATTATCGAAGCCGCCTTGTCTGTAATAAAAGCGACTGTCTGTTTGATCAAACTGGAGCTGCAATATGCAACTCAGAACAGTCTTCCGTCAATCACAAAGTATCTGTAAGGGGTGGACTTTATGAAGCAGATATTGATAGGCGATGTTGTGTTCCTACTTACTGGCCGGGTAAATTTCGTTTAAGATACGATGTATTCCTGTGTCGTTTATATCTGCTTAAGTCTACTGTGTGATTTTATTTCGTTCTCTGCTTTTCCATTCTGAGTATCAGTTCCTTTATTATCTACTGGGACTCAATATCATTCACAGATACAATACAGACGAACTATAGTCAGTTAAAGCTGTTAATTTTGAATGTTTCAGTTAAACGTGATGTACTTTAACTTCTAGTTCTTTGTATTACGCCTGGAGTAGAATTTTTTATATCCTTAAAACGTCATTTTTCTATAGCGGAGGCGCTTAGATATTTTTTAAATCAGGCAAGGGATACGCATTTCCGTATATTTTAAGCGTGTTGGTTGGTATGTGTTTACTGAAGGGTAGACCAGCGATCTGTTTTTCATCTTAAATAACTGAATATATTCCCCCACAGTGGGTAAAATAGTTAAGCAGTAATTGCATATATTATCAGTATGAAAGATAAGATTTCAAACCCGTCTTAAATTACAAACATGAAACCTTTATTTAAGAACTGAGTTTTTCAGTGTTCGCTAAAACTAATTTTGTCTACATCTCATTGATTTCAGTAACCGATTACTGTTATTAGATATGCGTAAACTGTATTTTGGTTTCTCTTCAGTTGAAAGGTGTCCCGCACGTATTTTGCGCGGCACTTGGTTTCGCGAAGGTTATGGTGGTACCCTTGAACCTTTTGATGATGAGTCAATGGCTGAACGTTTAGAAGCGGAGTACATCACTTGGTACTTAAGAAAACCTCAGAATATCGCTATCTCGGATAAACCTTTGTACTCAAATAGCAGTTTGTTCACTAGAATAGACGTCAGCACACCACTTCATTCTGTTGTTAGCGCTCCAACTCTTCGGTATGCAGATGCTATAAAAACAAGCGAATTGGTTGCCGAAAATTCTCAGTCATCTCGTTCTGAAAATAAAGATTTAACAATTGGAGTAGAAAACTATTCAGATGATAACGTCTGTGGTTCCACTGTGTTGAAAAAACGAGTTCGTAAGTTCCACAGTGTTACTCGTATTCTACTTTGTCAGGACTTTTTGCAAGTGAGGTTGTAAGTTTACTGATTTAAAACTTCGTAATTTGTACATTGCTTCTTTGCTTTCACGTACTTCGCTATCCCATGGTTGTTAGCTGGAAACACTAAAAACTAATAAGATACTTCATGAACTGTTAGTATTTATTTTAATTACAATAAGTCTGTTCTCATCACAAACGTCATATACAAACCCCACAAATCTCCTCAGGTCCATATAGTTCCCACTTTAATTGCTGTTTTCGGTGCATGAAATAATAACAGCCTTCTACATCATGTTCATGCTGTTAAGTATGAAAACCTACTAATGACAGTTTGCTTAAAGAAACATCCCAATTCATAAATAGTATTTTAAATCCAGTCAGGCAAATGAATCTTAACACTTGTAGTTAGTAGTGAGTACACTGTTCAAATCAGTCGCTAAATAAATGTACGCCTACATCAAATAGCAAACAGGTGGTGGTGCTTTAAATCACTTTTACGTAGATTTGTGATTTTATTTATTTATTTGGACACATGAATATTGGTACAAGAGAGCGCCAATATATATGCGCCACACAAAACAATGAAAATTCGAGAGGAATACAAAGAAAGAAAAAAAAGCTAAGGAGCGCAACAAAAAAAAGAGAGAGAACAATAACGAAGAGATTGGTGTAAGGTAATGTGCTAGTAATCAGGGAACGCAAAGGTACAATCGGAAGAAATCTTTCAGGTAAGGGAGACACAACCACTTTTTATGAAGAAAGTAAAAGAAGGTTACAGCAGGATCGCCACTGGCTTCTATTCTGAGCCATATCTGATAACGTCTCTAGCCACTGTGTAGCACCATCTCTCAGACCCCAATCAGGGAGTCGTGAAGGGCCAACACAAGCCAGTCCTTTGCAGCTTTCTTTCATGCCACGACACCATGTCATGCACTGACCACCTCTCCGCTTCTTCCAACCAGTCCCGGAGTCGGCAAATAATGCACGACGTGGAATTCTCTGGGACGACATTCGGAGAACATGTCCAAGCCACCGAAGTCGGTGTTTCAAGATGGTGACACCAATTGAATTATCATCTCTGTGCCCGAACACACGATGCCGAACCTCTGCATTACTGACATGGTGTTGCCACTGAATGTCAGCAATCCTTCGGAGACAGCGATGATCGAACACAGAGAGTCGTCTAACGTCCTCAACTCGGAGAGGCCAGGTTTCACAAGCATAGAGCAAAACTGCTCTCACCGACGCATTGTAGATCCGACCTTTTACGGCCAGACTAACATCACGAAGGCGCCATAGATGGCCCAGATTGGCATAAGCCGCTCTGGCTTTCACTATTCGTGCATTGATCTCATCACTCACACCCCCACCAGCACTTATGCAGCTACCCAGATACACGAACTTCTCGACTACGTCTATCTGCTCACCATCCAGGGTGAGTACATGTTAGCGGGACATAGACTAGATTAAAGCATGCTCAATGCATGATTGCTTTGGTGCACGCTGATTGGCTGATTCTTATCCAATCAGCACTAGTCGATAGTCGGAGAATATTCTGGAATCTTCTTATGTAAAAACTATAAATATACCGACGTTTTCCCCTATTGTGCTTCCTACTGGCTTCTGACTTGCTATTTGGAATATAATCTTTTTCCTGTTCAACCGTGTTCTGATTTGGGGACTTGTCGAGTGAATCGGTGTCCGAGAATACTAAGCAATAGGAATAGCTGGGTCATTAACCGTAAGAAGAAAACAGAGCTATAACAGTGGCGACGGGGAAAAACTAAAGAAAAATGGCGATTTCTTTAGAACAGTTGCGGTTAATATTACAGCACCAGCAGAAGTTGTTAGCCTTGCAACAACAACTATTGAGCACACTTTTCACTCGACCAGAAAATAAGAAATCTGTTTATGATGCAGTAACAGACATTTCAGAAGCATATCTAGTGGAGGGTTCAAATCCCTTTATACCTGAATCAGAACGTAATATTTGTAACGTTTCCGGCTCACAGCAAGAAAATCCTGTGCTGAATGCTCATAAAGTTGTGGCAATACGAGATTATCAAGAGTCAGACCCTGTAGATGAAGCCCGGAGTTCAGAATTGAATGAAGCACTACTGGTCCTGTCTAGCTCTGAAAATAACTTTCAGCTAGAACAAATTTATGGTCCACGTGATATTAGCCAAGAAAGCTATGGGGACTCGTATTCAGAAAATAACTGCAGTGACACAACGAACCCAATTATACCGAATGTTACTCAAAATCATTGTGAGACAGAAACTTATATTGAATCAGCTTATCCGATTTCTAATGACAATGTATCAGACATGGGTTCTCAGAACAATGCATGTTATTTTGATGAAATTTCTTATAAAAATCAGGAAAATATATCAGCTGAGTCAAATTATGGTCAAAAGTCTAATTTAATTTTGTTAGATGATGATTTCCGTAATGATCCATTATCCACTGATGAAATTCCTAATGGATTTGAAAGTAATGCTTCAGAAGAATTAAACTTTGACCTCAAATCAAAGGTCGTTCATTATCATCTAGTCGTTTCTAGTGGATCCGACATTCAATGCGAGAAACGTCGTTTAAATAAAGTCCTATTATCTGTAACTTGGAGATATAAGGATCCGACATTGTTTCGCGGAGGAGGAGAATGTTGGAGAATTAAAAGTTATGCATACTTTTTTTAAGAAAAATCAAAACGCCGGGAACAGACATGTCAGTCTCTGTGCAAGGAAAAAGTGATAATTCTTCATTGCCTAGACGATGGACTAATCGAAAGCACAAGCCAGTCACTCAGTTGCAGTTGGACCCTAGCACCAGATCCTACGAATCTGCTCAGAGGGGAGGTGTTAGCGGGACATAGACTAGATTAAAGCATGCTCAATGCATGATTGCTTTGGTGCACGCTGATTGGCTGATTCTTATCCAATCAGCACTAGTCGATAGTCGGAGAATATTCTGGAATCTTCTTATGTAAAAACTATAAATATACCGACGTTTTCCCCTATTGTGCTTCCTACTGGCTTCTGACTTGCTATTTGGAATATAATCTTTTTCCTGTTCAACCGTGTTCTGATTTGGGGACTTGTCGAGTGAATCGGTGTCCGAGAATACTAAGCAATAGGAATAGCTGGGTCATTAACCGTAAGAAGAAAGAAACAGAGTTATAACAGTGGCGACGGGGAAAAACTAAAGAAAAATGGCGATTTCTTTAGAACAGTTGCGGTTAATATTACAGCACCAGCAGAAGTTGTTAGCCTTGCAACAACAACTATTGAGCACACTTTTCACTCGACCAGAAAATAAGAAATCTGTTTATGATGCAGTAACAGACATTTCAGAAGCATATCTAGTGGAGGGTTCAAATCCCTTTATACCTGAATCAGAACGTAATATTTGTAACGTTTCCGGCTCACAGCAAGAAAATCCTGTGCTGAATGCTCATAAAGTTGTGGCAATACGAGATTATCAAGAGTCAGACCCTGTAGATGAAGCCCGGAGTTCAGAATTGAATGAAGCACTACTGGTCCTGTCTAGCTCTGAAAATAACTTTCAGCTAGAACAAATTTATGGTCCACGTGATATTAGCCAAGAAAGCTATGAGGACTCGTATTCAGAAAATAACTGCAGTGACACAACGAACCCAATTATACCGAATGTTACTCAAAATCATTGTGAGACAGAAACTTATATTGAATCAGCTTATCCGATTTCTAATGACAATGTATCAGACATGGGTTCTCAGAACAATGCATGTTATTTTGATGAAATTTCTCATAAAAATCAGGAAAATATATCAGCTGAGTCAAATTATGGTCAAAAGTCTAATTTAATTTTGTTAGATGATGATTTCCGTAATGATCCATTATCCACTGATGAAATTCCTAATGGATTTGAAAGTAATGCTTCAGAAGAATTAAACTTTGACCTCAAATCAAAGGTCGTTCATTATCATCTAGTCGTTTCTAGTGGATCCGACATTCAATGCGAGAAACGTCGTTTAAATAAAGTCCTATTATTTGTAACTTGGAGATATAAGGATCCGACATTGTTTCGCGGAGGAGGAGAATGTTGGAGAATTAAAAGTTATGCATACTTTTTTTTAAGAAAAATCAAAACGCCGGGAACAGACATGTCAGTCTCTGTGCAAGGAAAAAGTGATAATTCTTCATTGCCTAGACGATGGACTAATCGAAAGCACAAGCCAGTCACTCAGTTGCAGTTGGACCCTAGCACCAGATCCTACGAATCTGCTCAGAGGGGAGGTGTTAGCGGGACATAGACTAGATTAAAGCATGCTCAATGCATGATTGCGTTGGTGCACGCTGATTGGCTGATTCTTATCCAATCAGCACTAGTCGATAGTCGGAGAATATTCTGGAATCTTCTTATGTAAAAACTATAAATATACCGACGTTTTCCCCTATTGTGCTTCCTACTGGCTTCTGACTTGCTATTTGGAATATAATCTTTTTCCTGTTCAACCGTGTTCTGATTTGGGGACTTGTCGAGTGAATCGGTGTCCGAGAATACTAAGCCATAGGAATAGCTGGGTCATTAACCGTAAGAAAAGACAGAGTGTATAACAGTGGCGACGGGGAAAAACTAAAGAAAAATGGCGATTTCTTTAGAACAGTTGCGGTTAATATTACAGCACCAGCAGAAGTTGTTAGCCTTGCAACAACAACTATTGAACACACTTTTCACTCGACCAGAAAATAAGAAATCTGTTTATGATGCAGTAACAGACATTTCAGAAGCATATCTAGTGGAGGGTTCAAATCCCTTTATACCTGAATCAGAACGTAATATTTGTAAGGTTTCCGGCTCACAGCAAGAAAATACTGTGCTGAATGCACATGAAGTTGTGACAATACGAGATTATCAAGAGTCAGACCCTGTAGATGAAGCCCGGAGTTCAGAATTGAATGAAGCACTACTGGTCCTGTCTAGCTCTGAAAATA